AACTTTGTTAACAGTCATCAGACGACTAGTTTACATTGTATTCAGAATCCTTTTCTTGGGCTTATATGCAATGGAATGCAAAGCTTTGGGCATCCCTGGTCGTACATACAGCAATTAAAATATTGATAGTATTGATAGCATATTGATATCTCATGCTTTGTATGTCAGTATTAAAACACAAAAACAAATATTATTATTGACAGAAAAAATAATATCATACATATTTAGTATTGAAATTACAATGGCATTGTTGTCCTTTCCATTGTGTCACTAAAATTCTTAGTTTATGTTGCTATAAATATTTCAGGAAATGCTCCGATAATTATGAATATGAAGATATTTATGAAAAAAGGAAGGAAACAGTAGTACAGTAAAGTGTTGAAAATGACTATTGATTTTGGGTTTAATCACAATAATTATTGATATCTGACAGCTCTTTTGCAAATAGGTCATATGTAAAAGTTTGAACACTCCCTGGTCAAATTACATTTTTTGTTAATTTACTAAAAGAAGATAAATCAAAACATCCTCTACAAGGAGTAATATTAAATATGGTAGTTGGCAGCAAAAGTTTAGTGCACAAAATACATATATATATATATATATATATATATATATATATATATACATATATATGTATTTTGTACACTAAAATTTTGCTGCCAACTGCCATATTTAATATTACTCCTTGTAGAGGATGTTTTGATTTATCTTCTTTTAGTAAATATATATATATATATATATATATATATATATATATATATATATATACACACACATTCATATATACAACCCCATTTCCAAAAAAGTTGGGACGCTGTGCATAATGTAAATAAGAATAGGATACAATGATATGCAAATCATGTAAACCGTATTTTGGAAGGAAAATACTATAAAGACAACCAATCAAAAGTTGAAACTTGAAAAATTTATGCCCATTTTGAATTTGATGTCAGCAACACATTCCAAAAAAGTTGGGACAGGGGCATGTTTACCACTGTGTTTCATCAACTCTTCTTTTAACAGCACTCTGTAAGCATTTGGGAACTGAGGAGACCAACTGCTGTAGTTTTGAAAGTTAAATATTTTTCTGTTCTTGTTTGATACAGGATTTCAGCTACTCAACAGTTCACGGTCTCCTTCTGCTTCTTAAGGTCTAATTTTTCATTTCATAATGCGCCAAATGTGATCAGTGGGTGACAAATCTGGACTGCAGGCAGGTTAGTTTAGCACCTGGACTCTTTTAATATGGAGCAATGCTGTTGTAATACATGCAGAATGTGGTTTGACATTGTCTTGCTGAAATAAACAAGGCCTTCCCTGAAAAAGACATTGTCTGGATGGCAGCAGATGTTGCCAAAACATGTATATATCATTCAGCATCAATGGTGCCTTCACAGATGTGCACGTAACCCATGCCCTGTGCACTAATGTCCCCCTCTACCATCATGAATACTGGCTTTTGAACTGTACACTGACAACAAGCTGAGTGGTTTTTAGCCTGGAGGACACAGTGTCCATGATTTCCAAAAAGAAATTCAAATGTTGATTCGTCGGACCACAGAATACTTTCCCACTCCACCTCAGTCCATTTTAAATGAGCTCAGGCCCAGAGAAGGTGGCAGCATTCCTGGATCCTGTTTATATATATGATTTCTTCTTTGCGTTTTAGAGCTTTAACTTGCATTTGTGGATGCAGCAACGAACTGCCCCGGTCCCAACTTATTTGGAATGTGTTGTTCGCATCAAATTCAAAATGGGCAAATATTAAACAATAAATTTCTCAGTTTAAATATTTGAAATGTTGTCTTTATACTATTTTCAATGAAATATATGGTTTAAATGATCTGCACAACATTGCATTTTGTTTTTATTTACGTTTTGCACAGCGTCCCAACTTTTTTGGAAATGGGGTTGTGCATGTATATATACACGTATACATGTATATACATATAGACACACTCTGGGGACTGGGGAGCCAAATTTTGTACTTCTCTTGACAACCATCGTTCAACCTCCAAAATTATCTTGCATAATTTCATAAACTGGAGAAATGTGTCCCCCCTCTTGAATTTGAACCAGTGCTTATATCTATAACTCAAATGTTGTGGACGCATTTATTGCATGCAACATTTTCAGCTGAAGTCTTAGCCTTTTAGATGACAAAGAGCAACTTCCAAATGATTCATGTGTTCTATAGCTGTGCAGCAGAATTGGAGAACCTCCAAGGTCTTTTTTCCAAAAATCCAGATGAGAGAGAGATTTTCATTGTGTTCTGACACCACTCTCTGAACTGGACCTAAAGGTTTTCCATTTGGAATCAATCTGAAAGTAAGATAATGAAAGCCTTCCCAGATAAATTCCTTAGAGTCATACAAGATACTCAGGGAACACCTAGTACAAAAACATCTCTTGTCTGGACCTTAATGAACAGAGGAATTACAAAGTAGATGAATTAAAAAACTATCACCTGTCCCTGTCCAAACAATGTACTAATGAGAAATTAGTAAAGTGGAAGAAACAATGAATATTAAATGCTGTGTGAAGCATGCTCTGGCCTGACAAGCTAAATTGAAACTGCGTATCCTGAGGGGGCAAGGTTTCTAAATTGCTAATTATTAGCCCTAAAAGGGATCTGATGCTGATATGTTTGCCACTGAAAAGGCAGATGCTGAATAGCGCAGTGGTGGAGTCCCCCCCGTGTTTTTCCTCAGTCTTCTCCCCGGATGCTCTGGCTCGTCTGAAACAATGAGGGCCCCTGAGCTTGAGTGTCCCGGAGGCCTGGGTGAGCGGAGGCCTGGGGGCTGGGTACAGAGGGAGCCGCTCTGCAGCACAAAATGTGGAAGGGACAGATAAGGGCTTAGCCGCTCACTGAGGCCCTCTCCCAGGAGCCCAGGGGGAAATTTGCAGTTATTAAGAGGAAGATGAGAGAGATTAAATGGTCTTTGTGCTCTTGTTCACTGAGTTTCCTTTTTCATTTTTTTTTTTTTCAGTTTTCTCTTTTTTGGTGCACTTGTGTGAGAGGGAGTTTTGGTGAAAGTAGTTATTACTGCTCAAGCAGAAATTACTTTTTTCCTTCACTTATCTGTTGGATAATTTTCTTTTTGTGTTTTCTGAATATGAAACGGCATGATTGGACTGTTTTCCTACTGTAATTTCTTTTATAAATGCATCATCCTATTTCAATTTTATACCTTAATTGTTTCTTTACATTACAGGGCTTTGTTAAATGTTGTTTTGGTGTACCTTTGCATAGCCTAGCTCTTTTAGCTGCAACTGAAATGTAAAAAATCACAACATTAAAAAATTGTTGGCATTGGCATAAAAAATCATTCACTTCCTTATTAAAAATTTCCACTGAGCTTTCAGTACACATTTTTATTTTAGAAATGCAAAATGAACAGGTAAAATGCCTTTAGTACTAGTAGATCAAATTAAATTAAATTCTGACATGAAAATTTTACTTCATTGTTAGGAAATATTTTGGCATGCACAATTTTCCTTCAGTAAGAATTTGTGGCTTTTTCCAATTCATGAGAGGAGATGAGAGGAAACATTTTATTAGAATGAATTTCAATTCCATCAAATTGGTTGGTTTTGATGAGAAATGGTGCACTGTAGAGAAACGCAAGAGCTCAGATCTTCATTACAGAGGTGGTGATGGGAACCACTGCAATGTCTACAGCATAAATATAGCCATTGTATAATGTGATTTTTTTGTGATAATTGTGAGTTTTTATATGTAAAGTAGGAAATGGTAAAAGGTGAATCTTAGAGGTTAATCTAAAAAACCCAATTACTATTTACTATGATACTATTTTACCTTACAAAACCCTGCATGCACCACTCCTATTATTGTGTTTAAAGAGATATGTTTTAGGCCAAAATGGAATTTTAGTTGTAGCCATTTCAAGTAATAGCTTTCTGTGGGGGAGCTTTCAGAGGCAGTAAACATTTTAAATGTCTAGATCCTATCACCACCACTGAGAACAGTTCACATCAAATCACTCTAACTGACTTTGCTCACATCTTAAGGCTTTAATTATGCAAAATACTGAAAAATCACCCTTTAATTCATGACATTGTGAAATTCTTGTTATATGTTAAAATTAACTGTGACAGTGGGATTGTTACTTGAAAATGAATTTGTTAGAGTGAACATCCAATGTCCAAAGTCAATTCTTACATGTAAGAATAACTTTAATTTCTAAGACTCTCATAAAAATGAATGAGAAAAAGCAATATGTCTTTAATAGTGAGAACTGAAATTGTACATGAATTCAGTTTTTTACATATGAAATTAATAAATTAATAACATTTTTACTTCTACTTTACAGCTATTGTCTCAGTAATATCGCAAATTAAATTATTTGTGAAAAAAAAATTCAGATTAGCAGACGCAGCTCTTTTTTTTATTAAATATATGCACTTATAGCAACAATAAAGAAACAACAATGGAGACGTTTGTCATCACACAACTCTATTATAAGTTTGGATCAAAGCATATATCTTGCATGTTTCTAAACAAAATACAACTGGAGGAGAGAAACAGGATAGATAGATAGATAGATAGATACATAGATGGATAGATAGATAGATAGATAGATAGATAGATAGATAGATAGATAGATAGATAGATAGACAGATAGATAGATAGAAGAAAAGTAAAAGGAAACAACACGAATAAACCGATATCAAGAAAAAAGGAGATAAGAGAATCTAGGTACGATGTTATAAAACAGAATATTTACACAAAATACCAAAATTAAAACACTTATTGCAGGAGGTAGATAAAGATCTTAAAATAGACTCCACATCTTTGACAAAGCAACAAAATAGAGGTCTATTCTTTTTACTCTTTACACTTATGTATATACGACTTTGACAATAAAATAATTAGATTATAATTTTTAAAATTCATGTCCATAATTTGTAAACCCAAACAAAATCAGACGCAGCTCTTTTGACGTGGCGAAGGACGGACGTGACGTCACCAGCGCGGGGCGGAAGTCCATCCCATGTTTTCAGCTGTGAAAACAAAACAGCAGGATTGTGCAGCTGGTGAGTGAGAGAGAGCTTTAACAGCTTTAACAGCCCACTTACCTTTAAAAGACTTTTTGCAACGATTAGGACGTGTTTACGCTTTTAAAAACATATTTCAGTACAGTATTGTATTTATTTGCCGGCTTGGTGAACGACATGATGATGACTTGGTCGCTGCTCAGTATTTCTGATATTAGTATAATGTGCGATGAGGATGCAGTGTTTTCAGTATTTTAACTGTACCTGGTTCTGATGCACAGTCTCATATTTTCGTCTGATAACGTGAGGCTTTGACGAGGCTGAAGTCAGCTTCCTATTCGCCAGCTTCTTGTTCGAATTTCCTCGTTCCACCTTAAATGGTGCCGCAGTAACGTTCTGGCGCCTGAGACGGCAGAATGTAACTGCTGCACCGTTTACACCGTTTAAGGTGGAACGGGAAACTTCGAACAAGAAGCTGGCGAATAGGAAGCTGACTTCAGCCTCGACACGGCTCTTCTCTTGTCAAGCTTGTTGTTAAATCAAAGTTAAATGTATTGAGTGGTATTGGATGTGTAAAATCATACGTGAATGACATCTTTGAAGTCATTTCTCTTGAAGGGCATCCGTGTTATGTAATCCTCTTGTGCGCTCGTATTGTTTTGATCTTTCATTGAGGAGCCGTGACGTCATGCGTCACACGTCAGTACCAGTGCATGACTAGAGCAGTGCAGTCTAAATCAGTGGAGAGGACCTTTAGATAGTGAAGATCTATGAAAACGTAGGAAAACAAATACAATCCCAAACGGTAGCATTCTGTATTGTTTCTCATATTCGCTACATATAAATTGTATAGCAGATTTGGGACTAGAACTTGGATCCTAGCAGGCAGTCCTGCACTGCTTACCAACGTTTTCTGCTATGGCTGCACAAGGCATCTTTTATCAGTCTTTATGACAAAATTGGCCTTTGCAGTCCTCATATCACAGGCTGCAATATGCAAACAAGCTCTTTAACAAATTTGTTGTTTATTTTATTGTGTCTTGTGAGCTTCCTGTGTGGCACCATACTAGAGTAGAGTTTATGTTGGTGTTTTGATGAATCAAGACAATCACATTATCCAACAAATATAGCCATTTTGGACAAAATAGTGCAGGGCCATTTTTCATGTCAGATCAATGGTCAAATGTGGCAGTATTAGGGATGCTCTGATCATGAATTATTATGGCTGATTCCCATTTCTTTATAGCCAAATTGACCTTGGGCCAATTATTTTTGGCCAGTTTCTATTTGCCTTTTTTACCTGAAGCTTGCACTGTGTGGGCTAAATAAATCACATAGTACATTTTATCGGTCAAAGTTACAACGTAAATAACATTTATTTGGCATTAAATTCTTAAGTAAAGCATCAGTTGCCTTTCTAAATAACATGAATCAAAAAAAGCCCCACACCAAAAGTAGCACAACTAGCTGTTTATCCCAGTGAGTCATGCATAATTATGTTTTGGCATTTTGGTGTACCAGCAGCACTCAGATACAGCACACTTACTTTGCTGGTTCATTTTGTCACAAAAACTGCAACATAGATTGGCCCAGATAAAAATGAGAATGGTCATGGTTATTATTTTGTTTGTTTTTCTTTTTAGTGTTTAAGCAGATAATATAAACCTGATAGAAGCCATAAAAGTGAATATGTTTAAAACTACGTCTAGCTTTATGCAGTTTTTTGACATGCGACAACATATGTTTCTTCTACTTTAGAAGTGTCAATAATGTGTTTAGACTTTACTGATGTGCTTTGTTTGGTAGAGTTGCTGATATGGAGGAGCTGGTGCAGGACCTGGTGTCTGCACTGGAGCAGACGTCGGAGCAGGCCAAGCTGGATGAACTGTGGGAGGAGATGGTGCTCAGCCCATTGCAGCATCGGCGGCAGGTCCGCAGACGTAGGGGACGCAAACGGCGCTGTGATTTCTCCCTGCATGGCCCAGAGCACAGCCGCTGCCTCAGCGAGGCATCTGAATCCAGCCTGGATGAGGCTTTCGCCAGAAACCAAAGGCAGGGCGCTACAGCAGCTGTGGCCATAGCAACAGCGGCTGTGGTTCCTGCTAACTATAGTGATTCAGATGATACGGTGATAGCAAAGCGCTGGCCATCAGCATCGGTGTCTTTCAGGGCAAGGCAGCATTCCTGGCCAGAGTCAGACTCCTTCACTGAGAATACACCAGGCAGGCCTCTGCGCAGGCGCCGCAAAGTCAAACGAATGACCTCGGATGTGACTGTAAGCCTACAGCAGAAACTCAGAGTGTCTGGGTTGGAACGTCGTGAACAAACCCATCATCATTATCATCATCATCATCATCATCAGAGGTCGTATAAGAAGCAGAGGCTGGGCCGATTGAAGAAGCGCCCTGGGGCTTGGCCAGGGCAGGACGGGGGCTCTGTGGTGGCTGGAGTGGGAGGCCTGTCTGCGGATTGTTGGAAGGACAAGATCCTGCGCCAGGCCAAGGAGCAGAGGGAGGCCTCAGATGAGAACATGTCAGAATGGTATTTCTGCTTTGCTTCTTAAACAACTTGAATCCCTGAAAATGTAAAGCGCATAGCTGCTGGACATTTGATTGCACTTTATTCAGTTTTATTCATCACATTCAAATAGTTTGAGCAGCAGCAGATCAACAGTAAAACACTCAAACATGGTCCACTGCAGGTGCATTCTATGTGTCCTTTAACTTACATTCTTTTTTCAGCATTGACAAATTTCAAAAAGTTCTTCAATGGAAATCAAATAAATTATATTGAATAACTAGATATCTTTTGGTAATAGACTTTTTACTAGTTTTGAAAGTTTTACTTCAAACATGTACGTTTGTTAGATTCTGCTGAGATTTATTTAGAGTTAGTTCTCTAAATGATGACCACTAATGCTTTCATGTTAATAGTGCTCCCTGCTAGAGAAACTTCAGCCTGCAGCCATGTCTGTATGCTTTACATATTAAAGTTTTTTTCTGTCGTTATTGTGGGGGCACTCTGTAATTCAGCTTTAGATACTTTAGGAAAAAAGAAGTATTGTATTTTCATAAGTTTACAAGTTAAAAAAATACTGTTATTATTACTTCAATTAGTCTCCTAGTTTACTATCTGTTCTTTTTCCCAACACGGCAGTTATCACTTTGAAGTATTGTCAGCATTATTACATTAAGTTAAAGGCGCAAATAAAATGACAAATTATATATAACTTCTTTCAGTTTTGGTTAAGAATGTTCATTTTGGGGCATCACTGATTTTATCCTATTTTATTTATAGCGCAAACTTTATTTATATGGATAATGACCTATAGATCTAGCTATAGATCTAGATTCTGGGTTTAGTTTAAGCTTAGCGTCAGAGTGAGTGTTACGATTAGGGGCGAGGAATAGTCAAGGTGATCTTATAGATAGTTGAATGTAACTTAATGACAAGTTAAGCATCTGCAAAGCATCCACAGTGGACCATCCTCTTTATTCAGTTTGAACATTGTTAAAAAAAAGAAAAAGAAAAAAGCATTATTTTTATGTTACGTGTTATTTTTACAGATTACAACAAAGCTTCTTTTTTACACATCAGAATTAATTTTGTTCCTTGTTCCTTTTAGTGGCTAAGCTGATAATATAAACCTCACAGAGGCCATAAAAGTGAAGACATTTATAATGATCCACTAGCCGACCTAAATCTCTTTGGCAGTAGTCAATGCGGCTTCATTGTACCATGATTCATATAGGCACTAATTCATCTATTGAATTGGTATTAAAAATGAATGCTATAAGGCAGTATAGTCCTTTGAGTTGCAATGGTGATCAGCAGATAGGAGTCAGTGTTGCTTGTTTCCTCCAGGCTACAATTAGGTTATGATGTCTCTTTTCCAGAATTACAAATAAGAAGTTTGGAGCTGTATTGATCTCTGGGAAATGAAGTTCAATAGAATTCCAGTTAATTAAAGTTAGCTGAGTCTCCCGCCTCCCAGCAGCGGTGCGGCAGCACTCTCTCTGCCACAGATGTGTATCACACAAATGTCTGAAAAGTGACATTGGCTCAGTGAATTACCTCTGTGTCAATGGAGGCCTGCAATTTACTTCTCTCTTGCTATTAGAATTTTCATAGATGGATATTGTGCAGTCTGTTGTTCAAGGAGTAGTGCTGAATATGAATTCTAGGGTTTGGATAATTTATTTAATACATGCAAGTATGGCATTTAAGGCACAATTCTAGGGTAAGTTTAACAGTTTATTGCTCTGTCTGTAACATCATTAAGCTATTTATCTGGGTGTTTTAGATCGTCAGCTAGTCTGTCCTTCTTCCTCCTGCTATGCCATACCTCAGCCCCCATCCCCACCCCTTCCTCAGCCCTTCCTCAGCCCTTCCTCAGCTCCATGATGATCTAATTATCTGTGGGTTGGTTTAAAGGAGAGAGTGAGGCGTCAGCAGCGGCAACCAATAATGGGGCGACAGCCGGCTTTACATCTTCTGCTTTAATTTGTGCTGACCCCGCGTGGCCTCTCGACGGTGCTTGTTTTCTTATTTTATGGAAAAATCAATACCCCTTCTGACGGAAAACAGCTCCAGAGAAGAAATAAATGGGAACACTGTGTCGCCCTGTCAATCATTTCTCACTTACACTTGTGCCCCTCGTGCCTGATGGCTGTGTGCTGGGATTGGATAGGAGTGATTCAGAGAGTAGCTGAGTGGTAGCTGAGAGGTTAGCATTTAAAGTTTAATCATGGCAAAAAAAAGGGGCTGAAGACCCCAGTACCAAACTCCAAATCTGAATTAGAAGAGGACAAGACTGTATGTTTTGAAAGTCATAGGATTGAGGTTAAGCAGGATAGTCAATGCATTCTGAAATGCTCATAACAGCTTTCCCCTTAGGGTCATGCTACACACACGCGCACACTGCGAGGCCAGATGTTAATTTTAAGCATGCGGCGTATGTGAGGTACACCCCATCTCCCCTCTCAGCCCTCGTGCACAGACAGTGTCCAGACTTTCCTTAAGCCAATCCAAGTGTGCGTAAAGCAGCTGTTGGCAGCTCCAGCTGGGCTGCCCATCCTTGATTAGACCTGCGCTGGGCCTGATGGATGGCACACCACCTGGTGCTCAGTCTGGCCTGGCTGGGAGGCCTCACCTGTGGGTACGCACACCCACCAGGGCTGGGGCTCAGGCCATGAACAACCTTGGCCCTCTCTAGAATAACCAGCTGACCACGAATCAGCTTTCCATGAACTAGGGCTGAACAATTTGGAGAAAATATCTAATTGTGATTTTTCTGATCAATATTGTGACTGCAATTACAGTAGCAATTATTTTTTCCAGGCCTGTTATGTTGGCCAAAAAGACAAGCACATCTACTTTGCCTAGCTTCAGGCTTGAACGCTGAATGTAGCACACCAGACAGCCAGTCTGTTGGATGAGTTGAGTTAGGCACAGTACATGGGTGTTTGGTTGATTGATCTAGCTCATCTACATGTAGTTAACAAGCTCTGTGTTGTGAGATTAAATTCCCTCCTTAAATTGGATTAGGCAATGTCGTTAATGTTGTACGCTATAATTAAAATCGCAACTCTTCTGATTTGAAAATTGGCCTCATTTACCTTGCAGTTACAATATAAAAACACTTTTATATTATACTTAGTTCTGTACCGTTTTATTTATTATCCAAAATGACCAAAGTGAACCTGCTTGTGTCTTGAGTTTTATATGTAATGTTCATTATGGTTAAATAACAGTGGCTATTTTGCCTTACAACACACTGTAAGTACCTCTCTGACATAAATGTATTTTAAATAATACATTTTAGGCTAACATTTTTGTTTCTAACCTATCATGAAACAATGCCTCAGGTGTCAGGCAGCAATAATTATAACCATTTTATGTAATAACTTTATATGAAGTAGCTTTTAGAGGCAGTAAACATTGCAGACTTCCTCTCAACACCACTGTGAAAAATTCTCCTTAGGTTTCTCTAGAATGGTACATTTCACATCAAACCTCTCTGAATCACTTCAGTGTCTCAGTAGCCACAATTAAGCATGCAGCCTTTAAGCAATTAAGCATTTTTAAAATAACTCTTTGCTTTTGAATTGATTTTTTTTAATGAAACTTTATAGTTGAAACACAGATTCATTAACAAATGCAAACTGCTCTGTCCATTTAAACTAGAATGAAATTTATTGTCTTTTTAGTTACCCTGCTGGTACCCTGCTGGTTCAAATTGTTGAGTTAAAATAAAGCTAATAGAAAAGTAAATACCGTGGCCTCCAAAAGTATTTGGACAAGTATTTGCGCCATACTTGCAAAAATAGTACGTTTATTGGGTTAGGATACAAAATGACAAACAAAGTGACATTTATTTTAAACAGACCAATTCAAGACATTCATTTACTTTTTGACAAAGTGTTCTCCCAAAAGGGGGCTGGTGTATTTCAGATTATTTATATTTTGAGCAGTTTCTTTGCAGACTTATGCAGGTTTGTATTCAAAATGTCTTTCTTCTATATGGAGCTCATGATCTCATCAATGAACCCAAGCTCACCCACACCATTTGAAGAAACATAGCCCTGCGCTTTGATGTTTCCACCTCTGTGCTTTACAGAAACCTTGGTGCAGTCTGGTTGGATGACTTCTCCAGGCTTTCTCTGCACAGAGAGTCTCCTGTCAATTGTGTTTAAAGTGTTTTTCTGTGAATCAAATATCAATTTGTCCAACATTTTGTAATAACCCATAGAAATTAATTAACATGGTTAAAAAGGTTAAAGTGCACAAATAATTTTGGGTGGCCATTGTGTATTTTTACACTATTATTAAGTATTGATCGATATGAGAATATTATTTGAGTTTATTTGTGCAGAAAGCCTCTTGAACTTCGGTAAAGGGTCATAGGTTTGAAACTTCCAAGTTAGAAGTACCCATTTTTGTCTGTATAATAAGTAGAGGTGTCAGTGGTGGCATGAGTACTTTGCCGTCTTGGTTGCTATTCTTCAGAGCTGCTTCCACTTGTGATTACTTTGGTAATTTTGATTTGGCAAAGTAGTCGAGGAGTTTGGGATTGTATCCTGACTTGCCCAAGTTCGTTTCCATAAATCCCTGAGACTAATCCAATTACCCAAGCTGAGGGAGACTGGAAGACCCTTTTAATCAGACGCTTATGGAAGAGGGCATGGTCTTGGAATGGGTCTCCTTGTTATCAGCTAGACACTCCCCTGGTTTTTTGTCAGCCTTCTTTGTTCTGGAGTGAGGAATAAGCCAGCTCTCACTGACTCTCCATTGCTCAGTAATCTCACCCCAAACTGGCCTACTAGGCCTACTAGTCTCAGGAGGATGGGATTATATCCTAATGATTACACCCTGTCTTGGAAGTGTGTTTTGGGCTCACTTCCCCAGAATGTATGTAGACAATGGGACAAGAAGAGAAAGATATTAGCTCATCCAAAGCGAGCTGCCGAGGGGGATGTCTTTCGGGAGGTCTTGGGCTGTGTGCAGGAATTTGGATTTGCTTAGCCATGGTTGTTTACAAA